AAAAAAAAGCAAAGGGCATGACATGGGCTGAGATCCTCCCCGGACCCCGACCTCCGGCACATGGCTCGAGTGTTTTCGTGCGAAGGGAGCTCCGTTCGAGCGGAGCGGAAAACAGCTTACACGCGGTAATAGCTCCCTTGCTTGAAACTATCTGCTATCTACGATACACGCTAGTTCAATGATGAAAATGAGCTCCTCTTAGCGCGGCTGCCATTTTTTGAAGGGAGCGTAAGGTGGAGACGCTAGAGCGCCCGCCGCGGAGATGGCTTAGTTCTTAGCGAGGAGGGCTGAGTGATTCCGGGTTCTGTTTGGCTGATAAGAGGCTGCTTTAGCTTGTTTCGGAACAAGGAATTAGACGAGGGCTAGGGGTGAAGAATCTATGGGGATAAGCTAATGCGTAGTCTGAGGCTGGAAGGAGGACCTTAGCGAAAGAGGCGACGGCTTAGAGCTTCATCAGGATGAAAGTTGAATGCACTAGAGTTTGGGGATGATGTTCTCAATGTGTCCCTTGATTTGAGCTCTCGTGTTGGAGCTAAGGGATGCTTGAAGCTTGAAGCTAGAGAAAGGAAGAGAGTCAATGCCATCTCTGATCCCCGCAATGTGATCGGGGTTTGAGCCTAGTACTAGATAGGGTACTGATGATAACCTGATAGATAGAGAAAGCAATAGGCATGAGGCATCAATAGTAGTAGCGGCTGTCAGATGGCTTGCCATTGGGGATCCCCGAGCTGAGAGAGGAGTAAGTGAAGGGTTCAAAGCCTCCAGGGGCAAGGCTGCGGAGGGAGCACAAGTTCCATCAACGAAGTTCCGAGGAGCAATGCAAATTGATATTCCAAAATAAAGCTACCAGAACATAAGAAAGGCTAGCTAATATGTTATAGATGGGCAATATGTAAAGTAGAAGATAGAAGAAGAGAAAAGCACCAAGATCGTAGGAAATTACACCCTTTTCCAAACTCACTATGAACTCATAGACACAAGAGGGATAAAAATGATATCGAGAAAAGAAAATTTGAAAGGAGGAGGCCCATCCATCACCCTCAACCCAAGAACGCTCTTCATGCATGCAATATCATCCCGTCATCTAACTTACTTCCTCGCCCTATTGACAGACCCCTTTTCTTGATTGTGCCACAGCCAACTTAGTCGTCAGGCTCAATGGGAGCACCCTCCTCTGGCTCATCGGGATCGATCTCACTACCTTCAGCAGGGTTCTCCGGCTTCAAGGCACCGCCCGCCGAGGGAACGTCGATGGTAACTTCGCCTTTGCTAGTCTCATCAGGGTCGAGCTCACCACCGTCTCCAGGGAGATCGGGCTCCAGGGGAGCACCGGGAGCCGGGTCCTCAGGCACGAGAGGGGCACCGGGGGCTGGCTTGTCAGGGACGACGTCGCCACCACCGACATCAGGGACGCTGACTTTGCAGAAGAGGAGAGCGGCAGTGACGGCGTTGCGGAGGGACTGGATGTGCGCCGGGGGATCCTCACCGTAGATGATGAGAATGGTAGCGAGCGTAGTCTCAAGACCGATAATGTCCTCGAGATCGCAGGATCCGGGGAGCGCAAAGATTCCGTCCTGGCGCCTGCCGATCTTGAAGCGGGAATGGACATCGCCGATGAGATGCGGGTCAATGTCGTGACCCTCGGCGATCAAGACCTGGGCGAGCTGCTGCACGACCATGTAGACGGGGAAAGGGGGCTCGTGGGAGGCGTACGAAGGCGAGTTGACTAGCTGAGTGAAGGCGTCAAGGAGCTGAGCGGACTCTGCGGACCTCCTGCCGAGACCGGGGATAAGAATGCTGCCGGAGCCGCCTGGAACAACGACCTCGGGGGCGCCGTGCTTCTTCAAAAAGGCCTTGATTTGCTCGATGCCCTTCTGGACGGCCTTCCTCTGGTTGTCGTCCTTGAGAGTGTCGAGGAGCTGTTCCATGATGAGAAGCTCCTGCTGGGCCTTTATGATGTCCTCGATGGTGACATCGCCGCCAAGCTCATCATCGTACTCGTTATCGGGGTACTCAGGCTCATCGGGGTACTCAGGCTCATCGTGGTACTCAGGTTCAGCAGGGTATTCGGGCTCATCAGGGTACTCAGGCTCGTCGGGGTACTCTGGTTCCTTGGGGTACTCGGGTTCCTTAGGCTTCTCAGGTTGCTTGGGCTTCTCGGGTTGCTTAGGCTTCTCAGGTTCCTTGGGTTTCTCAGGCTCCTTGGGTTTCTCAGGCTTGCTGGGCTTTTCAGGTTTGCTAGGCTCATCAGGATACTCCGGAGTCCAGGGCTCGTCAGGCGTCTGAGGGTACTCTGGATCCTGAGGCTTTTCTGGTTTCTGTGGCTTCTGAGGTTGTTCGGGCTTCTGTGGCTTCTGAGGCTTCGATGGTTCAGGATACTCGGGGTACTCAGGAGACTCGGGATACTCAGGCTCCGGAGGGTAGTTGCTGGGAATGTCGGGGACGATAGGGCTTCCGGGAAGGGGATCGTCGGGCCTGATCGAGATACCACCACCGTTGCAGCTGCCGCGGGTGCATCCACCACCGAAATTCTGGGGGGTTCGCTTCTTGGGCGGCAATTTTAAGCCGGGAGGAAGTTTAAAGTTGGGTGGAAGGAAGCCAATGATCTCATCAAGATCAGGGATAGTGATGTCGCCGCCGCTTCCCTCGCCAGCACCGCTACATTTACCCTGGTAGCAGAAACCAGTATCAGCGCCGTCGCCGATGCCGATGCCGATGCCAATGTCGACTTGTCTCTTCTCCCTGGCGGGGAGGGCCTGGGTAGCAGCCACAAGGCTGAGTACCGTCAGGGCGCTGGACCGCATTCTGTCCTTTTGTATTCTGAAAGGAAGAGGCAAAGAGTATGCCTGTATTCGCCTCTCTCGAAGAACAACTTGGTCGCGAAAACACAAAAAGAGAAATAAGAAAGAGCCCTGTGAAGACACTTATCCCTGGGGAGTAGGATGAGGAAAGGAGCTGACAATAGAGGGAGAAACGGGAACTGCGGACAATCAGGAGTATCGTCAGTTATAAAGCCGGCCGAGTCGCCTAGAAACGGCGATGTGCGTTGCCACCGGGTCGTCGAGTCGGCTCGCCATCGCGAAGGCTCTAAGTGGAAGAATATTAAAAAGAAATATTTATAGCATATTGCTATTTCGCCTCTCCTTCATCCATTCAACGGCGCCGACTTGAATCGCCCGAATGGCATCTGGTGATGCCTGGCTGGCTAGCTTGTCATCTATGTTAATATGGAATAGATGAGGTTGAGAGCGCAATACCCTCTCGACAATGTATTATCCGGGGAGGTCCCTTTAACCGGACGGTCCTGCGATCTTATTTGCCCCTCTCCGGACGCTTTAGTAGACCTGGCCGTCCCAAAAAGATCCGTGAACCAGAAAATGGGTACACAAGGGAGGAACGGCTTCCGCTATCGAATGAGGACCGACAGGTATATTGTGCCTATATCGCCGTCAAGTGTTAGCCATGGCCGAGAAAAGCCATCACCAGCCTCCCCCGGGTCAACGTGGACCAAGAGTGGATACGGATCCGTAAAATGGAAACTAAAACCTATTTTTGGCTGCACTTTAAAATCGTCCCCTGATGCAATGTATGAGGTGACGAGGCAAGAAAGTCGTAAAGCACATCGCTCTTAGCTTTAAATGAACCGAATCAGAACAACAATCCGGGTCGCCGAGGATGGGTTAAGCAGCCCACCCTGCGCTGCGGGAGCCCATGAAGATATAGGGTACAAACCTGGGACTCTGGACGGCAGCATTGACTCTCTCACCGTCGTGTAGAAGATACTCTAGGGCTGGTAGTTTGATGGAGATCAGGTAAGCTAGAGGGTTCTGGCAGTTCAGGGAATCAGGGACAGGTGCCGGCGCCTTGGCCGTTGTGTCCCATGATTCATCGATCGGAGGGTTCGGTGCCTGAAGATGTTACCGTGCTAGAGGGTGCCATCTTCCCACCCATTGCTTGCATCCTTATTTGAAGATATTGCTTTGTTGACCTTGGGGTCATCGCTAGAGCTGCTGTTAGTTTACGCCGCAAGATACTCACACATCGCATCGCAGTGGACCATAGCGTCGTATGGAAATGCTGTCGACTAAGAATAGATCAATTTAAGCTTGCCTCGGGTTGAGAGTCTTGGCCGGGCTTTACCCCAAAGTTGCAAAAAGGAGATCGTGAAGAAGCGTCGACGACTTTCGTCCCGTATCCAATATAACCACAAAATGGGTCCGGCCTTCCAGATAATAAAAATTGAATCGAATGGCAGGGCCCCATACTGACTGAATCGAGTTCAATCACTTGATCATCGACATTAATCAGAGCATTGGGTGCCAAATCATTTGTAGTCCAGGATAGGGATGGATGACTTCCGCTGTACCAGGACTAATGCTGCGAGCCACAACGCATTGCTACCAGGGATTCGCATCATCGACAAATAACCACAACGGAAACATGCCATGTAAAGACAGTCTGATCTAGAGATCGCAAGCATAAAGACAAAATGGAGCCGAATCGTCCTCTTGGCGTACCAATTCATTTCCGGATCTCGAAGCCGTGCCATCGTCGTCGTCACAACCCAGAAAATGACTTGCAAAGAGGAATGGCGGGCTCTCCTCGGCAGTATCCTGATATACCATCTTCTCGCGGGGAGCTGAGACGTGAGGACGGGAGAGGAAAGGGAAAAGAGCACACGGACGGGTTGGAGGGTAGGCAATCTCATGAATGCGTGTCATGGAGAAAACGGCTCTATTTCTCGTACGGGACACTGTTCCCGATGATGTGACCGCAAAGCAGTTCTGAGAGGTAAAGGAGGGTAGAAAATAGAATTGGACTACCTAAAAAGTGAGGTTGACACGGGATCCAATGTGACGGGTAATATCAACGGAAGAGTCCAACCAGTAGTTTTCTCTCGCTTGGACTAGCCGGAGGACCAGTCACAGTAGGGCCTGAGTAGGCATTTGGAATGAGAGCGTGGCACTAAATTATCTAAATTATGCTATGCGCAGGAGAAAATGGCAGAGGATGATGAAGAGCAAGAAGATCTCTCGCCCTGGACTGCTCTTGCTAATTTCAAAGTGAGGTTGTTGAGGCAGCTGATGACGTCAGCACCGAGAATTTTCAAACGATGAACGTGCAGGTGGTGATCGGGTAAACATCGGGGACCTCGAGGTCCTTCTTGAGAGCTCGATTTGAAGATCTTCCCATCCCGACTTCTCATCAGCATTCTATAAAGCTCTAGTGAACGCCCGGGGAAAGAACTAGAAGTGAGGGCAGCAATCGATACTATTCGGAACCATCCCCTTACCCTACTTTGGAGGCAGTACATCAGTCCAAAGCACCGCCGTTTCTACAGCGCAGCACCTGATATCACGTGACTTATTCTAGTCGCGCCCAAGCTCTGAATTGACCACTTTAGCTCTCGACGCGATTTGTGAAGGCGTCGCACGTGAAGCAAACGTCTTGTAAAAGCATTGCTCTCCCAAGTTCATCCCCATCATCGATGAGGCATGAACTCCTCATACCCCGGCGCATTTCGTCAATTCGCTGCCCCTCTAACCGAAAAGGGTGATTCATAATGGTAGAGACGTGCTTTCAAATCCCTGTTCGTTGACGATGGTTCGCGCTAACATTGTGACAACCAGCCGGCCTTCCAGGCGATCAATATCGAGGTCGAGGAGAACGTAGAGGACGAGCTCGACACACTTAAGGAGCTCCAGGTAGGCGTCGATGTGCCAGGTAGGAAACATTGTGCCAGTCTAATCATCTATGAATCTAGGTCGACGATGCTTTGAAAGTATTTCAGAATGCCTTGAAGCTTCATGCTCAAGGCCCGAGCGCATTCGACGATGCAGAGAAAGCCTACAAAGATTTGTTCCAGTCCGAAATATTCAAGTATCCCGAAGCGGCTACCGAGTTCGATCGTGTTGAGCGTCAGCCCGAGCAGCTTCCGCTCGTGGCCGCTGCCGCTCCGACAGCTGCGCCGTTGGCCCCCGAGTTAACAGTATCCGCCGCCGACATTGACGGTACGGGAACTTCCCTCCCTCAAACCCTCTATTTAGCGCACAAGAATCGCGGTCAGCTTTCCATCGATCGACTCCGACACGAGGCACGAAAGAACAGGAGCAATATGGACGAATACTTCATTCGCGAGGATGTCAGGGACCACGCCCGTCTTGCCCTTACCGACTTCTCCTCCGCCCTCGATCGAGATCCTTCGGACGCCGAATTATGGCGGAGAACTGCACGCGTGGCGTCTTTCCTGAATAGCGCGAGAACGAGTCGGTACTGCCTCGAAGCTGCCATCGAGCTAGACGACGATCCTGCCGTTCTTGAAGTCCAACCTCCATCGCTTGTGGAAAGCCTGGCGGGCCAACAATTGAAGAACCAACTGGAGCTCCTATCCGACGAAATAGGATTATCACACCCCGTTGTAGCGCCATGGCTCGATCGCGAAGTGCCCGAATTTGTCAAGCGCTGGCTCGACCCGCTACCTTTTCTACCGGACCCTACCAAAAATTTAGAGGAAGCCCGGGTTGACCGTGATAAACTCAGGAGGGACAAAGTTGTTGTCAAGGTTTCGAGCGCGTCATGGAAGGACGTAGGATTGGCTCTTGTCTCATTTGCTACTCACGAAGGAATGACTGGAGATGCCATGAACCTGGAGGTTCCTGACCTACCGGAAGAGGAGGAAAAGGAAGACGAAGAAGTAGAAGACGTCGATATGGTGGTGATTCCTACCCCCAAGGATGACGATCATAATATGGAAAGCGGCGGCGACTCACCTTCTGCCCAACTGCAGGCTGAGGTAGCGACCCCAGAAGAAATCACTCCAAAGTCTCCCATTAGCAATGGCCAGCCAGTGACAGAAGATCCTACGAAGACGACCGAGACCAGGAACAAAGATCGGGCGGTATCTCAAACCCGGAAACGCTCTCAATCCACCGCCGGTGTCGGAGAAAATGGAGGAGAGGACGAGAATGGGGTGGAAAAGAGGAGCAAGAGGACACGGCGACGGGATACCGCCGCCGTTGAAGAGGTTATTGATCCAAGTGCGCTCTATGCCTCGAAAATCGCAGAGTACCAGGCCGTCGATAAGCATCTGTTCCAACTCGCGAAGGACATCTTAGAGAATCTAGGAGTCACGGACCAAGCAACCATCGACGCGATCGGCCAGGTCCTTGAATCTTGCGATTCGGAGGATAGATTATCGAAGCTGTCCAGTCTAGCCGCCAATGACCTCCGGGTCGCTCTAACCTCCTTTAACGAGGCAAATGCAAAAATCCTATCGGGCAAGAAGGATCAGCCGTCGTTGAGCTTAACATCATTTCTTGAGCATGCTAAGGGCGCGTCCAAGAAGACTTCTCCTACGCCCGCGTTTGACGAGTCCCGGGGCTTGACGGCTTTCGTCAACAAGGTGAACTCTGGCTGGTTGACTATCCATGACGTTGCCTTTGAATGGATAAAGTGTATAGCGCAGAGCTATCTCAAGTCAACGTGGTCGGAGGAGATGAAGGTGGCGGTTGTACAGCTTATTAGCCACGTTGATGCGGACATTTACAGGCGCGTAATGGACGAGATTTCCATGGCTCAGGACGACTCGGATTCTGAAGCCTTGGACAGTCTTGTCCAGATGTTGTTTGAGCTGCATCTCGACGTCTACGATCGAATAACTAACCCAAACAGCATCGTCAAGTACAGCGTTCGCGTGGAGACGAGGGGACGTCTCGAAAGATGGCAAGACATGGCATCGTCGGCAATTCGCAGGAGCGCAAGACTGACTACGGACCCCATCTGCTTGCGTTTCATCTGGGCATCCATATTCTTTACCGCCGTTCTTGAGGCCGACGTCCCTCGTGACCACATACTACAGTGCTATAGAAGCTTCCATGACCTCATGATTTCCAACGATTGTCCACAGATCGATCTACCGAATAACGCGGTCATTCCTTTAATATCACCGACCGCGGCGGAGCGCGAAGTATCCAAACTTACCACCATGGACTTCTTCCTAACCCTCTTCCAGGAAGATATGAATGACCCTGTAATGGTAATCGAGAACTTGGAGCCTGTGCTCAACCCGTCGTCAGTCTTCGTCGAAATTTATGGACTGCACCTGCCAAATGAAGATGTCTCCGCCGGCCGCGAAGAGCCCATACTGATACCGATTCAAGAGTGTGCAAGCCAAGGATTGCTCGACTTGTGGAAGTTCTTGGAGAGCAGCGACACCGAGCTGAGGCTTTTCCTCTGGTCGAGACTCAGCGAGGCATATGGTGCTATCAAGTATACAACAAAGCAATTCTCCTGCCGTCTCCGGAGCATCGAAATGATTATCGAGGACCTCGCTAGCGAGACGTATCTGAAGACTCCAGACGAGACTCGTGGCGCCTTGCTGATGAAGACTCTCAAGTCGCTCGATGAACTATTGATTATAGCCCTGACCTTGGCCCTCAACGAAACCACCGCTTTTGAGATCATCGATGAAGACCACTTGCGGTCCACTTCTTCGGCCTTGGCAAGAATCAGTGCACTCCTTCACACGGCTGCGATATGTGAAGATGAAATGCGCATTGCATCGACCCTGCCGTCGCCTACGAGTACCTCCGCTTTGCAGCTTTTCTTGAATAAGCTCCGTGAGATGCAAGTCCGTGCCTGGTGCTTACAGTACACCGTCCTAAGGGCAGGCATTAAACATCATCCCGATATCTTCTGCAACCCAGACAATGACCGTGCCGCTTTCCTTGCCGCGGTACACCAGGTTCTGGGAATCCGGAAGTTCTGCAAGGCCTCGAACAAGATCTTCCTGAAAATGATGAGAGTTGAGCTGTTGAAGATTGAAACCATTGATAACTGGGAAGACTACCTAGGTCAGGTGCTATTCGACCTTCACGGTCTTAAGCTTGGCGTGGGCATGTGGGAGGTAGAGGATCACCAATGCCCACCCGAGAAGCTGGAGAAGAGGACTACGATACAGTTGGTCGAGAGGATGACGATCCTGGCAAGCCGCATGCCAATTAAGGAGCTCCTTAAGTCGGATCTCAAAACGACGATTGAGCGTATGCAGCAGACCATGGGCCAGACGAAATCCACGCCGCAGATGATTCACAATCTCAGGAACTTTACGGAATTCCTCAAGAAGCCAATTCATCCGCTGCGCCTATATGAAGCCACCAAGGGCAACGTCACTTTGGATGCGGTTGGCGTCAACACCCAGGAGAGCACATTAGCGAAGTACGGGTGGTTTTTCCTCCTCGGCATGATCGCCTTGACCAAGTTCAAAGGTGTCGACCTTAACAGGCGACAGACTCCTGGAGCGACGGACGACCTGCGTATCGGGGCCACTTTCATGCGGCTGCAGCTTCAGTTCACACCTGGAAAGTGGGATGCTTGGTTCCGGTTGGCCGAATGCTTCGACTACGAACTGGATGAGGCAGTATTGTGGACGGCAGATAAGATGAACAAGGATCGGGGCGAGCTGATTAAGTTGCAAAGGAGCGCTATCCATTGCTACACCCTAGCCCTTTCCAACTCCCGACACATTGATCCCGAGGGGGAGGAGGCGGACGCGCTGTACGAGCTTCACCACGGCTTTGGCATGAGGATGTACGCATCCAGCCGAGAGCCCTTCGCCATGGAAGCATTCCACCATAGTGATCAAGTCCGCTTCTTCATTGCCAATAACTCTGGAACGTATCTGCGGTCGGTACATGACGAGATGGGCGAATACCAGGTGTGGAAGTTTGCCGCCTTCTTATTCAGGAAAGCCATGGCGATGCGTCCAAAGGACTGGAAGAACCCATACATGTACTCCAAGTGTCTTTGGAAGATGTACCAAAGAGGCGACAAGGAAAAGGACTCACCCATAGTAAGCCTCGACCGGCTGATCGATGCGCTTAAAGAAGCAGCTCGGACAGCGGCAGCGATGCCCAAGTCAAGGAATAGCGACCCGATACTTGAGCCGCACTACAAGATGCTCTCCATTCTGCACAAGTTGGTGCTAAAGAAGGACACATCTGGGAGTGAGGCGGCGGAGATCCTCTCAGAACAACCATTCGGCATCGAACACGGGGAGGATGTCAACATGGACGATAACGACAACTGGGAGGAATACGTCATCAAGAGCCTTAGACATCTGCGTGACAAGGACAAATCCAATTGGCAGCACAGAATGATCATGCGACATGCTCATATTCTTTTCGATGATGAGGAAGATGAGTCTACGAACCCCGAATATCTGCAGGTACAGGCCAAGGCGGCATTCAACGTACTCAGGGAGTCCATGTTTACGAAGACTATGGTGATGAACGTGTGGAAGTGTGATGCTGAGCGTGCTGGCCGGCATCACGTCTACACGGAGCAATATGTCCGGTTCATGGTCAAGCTTCTTCTCGTCCTGGAAGATCGCACGAATCTTGAGGCTCTCTTGAGAAGGATACGCAAGAAAGGAGCCGACTTTTACCATTTTAACGACCTGTGGCAAAGCTGCTGTATGGCTTACCTACATTTGTTAAGGAGGACGTACAAGGTGGCGCCGACGATTGATGATGCTTTCAAGTCGGTGGCACTAGACGAGTTCGAAGGCAATACGGAACACATCCTGGAGTGGGCCCGCGAGGAATCCGAAGCGCCCGTCTTGGGATGTCTGAAGGACGCTATTGAACTGAAGAAGCTCAACTCGAATCTCATGAAGGCGACGGCCATCGACGATCTTATCAGCGACTGCTACACGATGATTTACCTCGAGGCGCGTCCGCACATGGAAGTGTCTACTACGGAGACTGTAGAAGGTTCGGCCGTCCAGAGCCCCGATGCGATGGCGATAGATGAGGAAGCCAAGGAGACCGGAATTAAAGAGGAGCCCGAGGGGGGTGTTGCAGAGAAGAAGCATGGGTCCCTCCGTAGCATTCTCCACGCGCCTGCCGGAGCTGATATCATCGACGACGCTTCCAGCATGGCTATAGATGAAGAAGTTGCTGAGGCCGGTGGCGACGAGAAGCCAGCAGAGGCAGCGGGCGCGGCTACGGTGGCGCTGGCTAGCGCGGAGACGACGACGAAGCCTCGTAAGACGGGCATTCGTAGACCGGATATCCTTAGAAAGGCTGAACAGGTCGTCTTGCGACTCCTCGAACCGAACAAAGTGGAGCCCGTCGGGCCATCGGGAGCGAACAAGTCTAGGGCCGTCTCGATTTCTAGCCCGAAGAACACCGAGGCCGCAACGACTAATGGAGATCATGGCGGTGCGGATGCCGGCAGCGACGTCGAGATGGAAGATGGCGAGCCGGCAGCCAAGGAAGACGCTGATGAGGCCGGCGCCGACGAGACCGCGGAACCCGGAGAGACCGGGGGTGACGATGTCGCGGGCGAGGACGCTGATGATGAAGGCGGTCACGAAGGCGAACTTCTTTCTTCGCCTTTGGGTAGTATCCATGATTCGGCTGACGAGAGCGATTTGACCGACGTGCCGCCGGATTCCGACGATGAAGGAGGACAGGGAAACGATGAAGAGGACCAAGAAGAAGAGGAGGATGACGAGGAACAGGACGAGGAAGAAGATGATGAAGAAGAAGAAGAAGAAGAAGAAGAAGAAGAAGAAGAGAAGCCGCATAAGCCAGTGGCGGCGCTACTATTTCCTAATTTGAGGAGGAGCTCGGAAGCCACTAGGGCGAGCAAGAATGATGAGAAGACGGAGGAGGAAGACACGGCTGACTGAAAACCACTTGTACATCACATTTCCGGATCCTGAAGACTGCCGATTTGTATGAGTAGGGATAGCATTTGATAGAATCGTGCTTTTTTTGACAGGTTGGGGGAGTTCCTAGGTGAAAGGGTCGGCAATGGAGTTGGTAGGGTCTACAAGTCGTTCATCAATGCCAGAATTGAAATATCCAAATATATCCATGTGTAACTCGAAGGTGTCGATTCATATCCGAAGACTTGAGTGGATCATACTAGATACTCGTCACATTGTTCCTAGCTGTGGGCGACAACATTGTGAGACATGGCGAATGCACAGCAAGAACTGGAAGCCTAATCGGGTACTGTGAGCAAGTGAAGACTTCAACCATTGGGGAGGGCTGCTGCTGCCCAAACAGAAACCAATGGTCCAAAAGTAACAGTTACGGCGGCTTCTACAAGTCGTGAGTTGTGATACCGACGGAGCGGGAAGGCGTTGCCCGTTTTGCACACCTTCCAGCCCAAGCTCTCAGGGTTGCCCCACTGATATACTGATATGATGATTATGCAGCTCAAGTTGTTCAGCTCCTGCCCCGCCAGAGTCAGGTCAAGTGGAGATACATTATACATTCTAAGTACTTCGAATATACTTTATTTAATATTGGCTAGTTATAATCTAATAGTGTACTTGGAGTGTGCATAATTCGTACATTGCATTCTTCATAATCAATCAGCCTTACCGCAGCTGCCTTCGGTCTCTCCTCTATAAAGTCTCCCTCAGGCATCTTCAACTCTCTCTCTTCCTCTCCCAAACTAGACATCCTCCAAATTGTTACCTAGCTATCATATCGTCCACTAAGCATCACATAGCATACATACAGACCTAGCCATGTCAGCCAAACGCATCCAAAAGGTAAGGAACTCCCACGACCCCCACCATGACCCCGCGATACGATACGAACGTATAGCGGACTGACCTCACTGCTCTCCCCATCACCAGGAACTCGGCGAGTGCATGCAATCCCCCCCCGCCGGCATGTCCGTCGCCCTCGGCGCCGACGCCGACATCCACCGCTGGCACGTAACCATAACAGGGCCCTCCACCTCTCCCTACGCTGGCGGCACCTTCGGCATGCTCCTCGACCTCCCCACCGACTACCCCTTCAAGCCGCCCGTGGCCAAGTTCACCACGCGCATCTACCACCCTAACATCACCAACGACAGCCTCGGCAACATCTGCCTGGCCATCCTGAAGCCCGATGCGTGGAAGCCGTCGACGAGGCTGTCGGCGGTGCTGGAGGCCGTGAGGAACTTGCTTGCTGAGCCGCAGCCTGATGATCCTTTGGAGGCTAGGATCGCCGACGAGTATAGGTCGAATAGGGCGGAGTTTAATAAGAATGCGAAGTCGTATGTGGAGAGGTATGCCAAGAGCAAGACTCCGGCTTTTTCTTAGGAAGGGGAGGGGAATGATGGGCGGCATTGGTATGGACCTGGAGATGGGGGTGGAGATGGAAATGGAGGTAGGAGTGGAGGCTTCCCCAGCATAAGGATGGATCTGGATTCATCTTTACCCTCTGACGGATAGGATGCCGGCCTAGCGATGCCCTCGCATCCATCCCACATTCGGTTTCCGGGGACGAACCTACCTAGAGGAGAGAATCCCCATGGAGGCATTCCCGCGCAGCCAGGCTTGCCTGCGTCTGCACCGACTATGATACAAACGACTATGAATAATACGACTCATTTACGTTCACAGTTAAATCCCCCTGCGCCCCCGTACGTCCCGAATCCTTACGGCTCGGGCCAGAACCAGTTCCCACCTAGAGCAACTATGCAGCCGGGCGACCATCGTCCGGTGATTGCTCCGTACAGCCCCATCTGTAATCCCCCGTCTTGGAACGCTCAAATTTCTGGAGTCGGCCCACTCGCATCTGGTCCGGTTGTCGACCCTCGTGTCCAACCTCTTCATCATGTCGGGCCCGGTCCGCCTGTCCCTAACCCGCCCACCGTGTCTCATGACTTGCCTCCGTGCGCTTTCAGACCACACGCGCCCGCATACGGTTCAGGTTCCGGTCCCGTCCCGTATCCCCAGGCTTGGAGCCACGGCGGCGGCGGTCCATCCTTTCCTAACCTGCCCACCGTGTCGCATGGCTGGCCCCCGACCAGCAATGCCCACCCACTCGGGGTTAATCCTGTACGCCACGGCCGACCTGGCCCTGTTCCCTCCATGCCGTCCCAAGCACCCAATTTTACCGGCCCGAACCCACCCATTTCCAACCCTGTCATGTTGTCCAACATACCGCTTCGGCCTCAACCAGCGAGCATTCCACCGCAGGTGCCTCCCCCACTACCAACGAATAACCCTCAGCCGATGGGATATCCCTATACTATTCAACCCACCCCGGCCGGGCTGGCGTTTGATGGTGCGAGGAGCCGCAGCGACCCGAGCCTCCAGAACCTATCTAATAATTTCTCTGCTCCTCAGCCCTTTGATGAGCGCCCTGATGTGCCGCGGTCGCCCAATCTCCCGAAACTCGAAATGATCCCTATACGATACTTACAGCAACTTGGATTACTCCCAGAACCCTGGCCGGCGAATGGGGACGGGGATGCGGCAAAAGAACTCGCGAAAGCGCTCATCCTGGCGCATGAGCATGAGGTCAGAGAGGCGGAGATTGCCGCATATCTTGTGAGGAAGAAGGCGGAAACGGCTCTTTCTTCGATGAGAATTGAACCGGAGAAAAGAACGGGAGCTACGGACATCGGAATGTTGCCTGAGCCTTCTTACGATGCCATGGATTTGGATTGGGGTGGGGATGGGACGGGCGGAAGGGAATCGGCGGGTCGGAAGCGCAAGCGGACACAGGAGATGGATGAGATTTGTCAGGAGTCTCAGGAAGACGGGAGGAAACGACGGCGGGGAAGGGGGTGAAGATGGGCAAAGGTGGTGAGCTGGGAGAGATGAAAGAGGCTGGTACTTCTGCAGAACAGTGTTCTTTGTTGTGTATTTCATACCTTGGTCAAGGAGTGAGCGGATTGTTTTTCTTGAGCTGGAAGCGACAGTATAGACATACGTGTTTAAAAATTGAGAGAGTTCTTCAGCGAGCAGAGGCATAAACACACGATAGTAGAATCGGGTCTACGCCGAAGTTCCCCACTTCCTGTGATGGTGTTGGACTTTGTCTATCCATACTAAAATCTCATCTTCAAACACGAGGCTCGAGGCACTTCATCTCAACTTTTAACACATGATGTTTCTCTGCTTCAGAAAAACCCCCATCCATTGATATCTTCCATAAGACCCTTCTATCTACATAACCCATTAATGTCTAAAAGTTATAAAAAAATGTGGTTCAGCCACACACCAGAGAAGAAGAAAAAGGAATCTTCTACAACGAAATATAAAAACTTCCCCAGGGAATCTCCATCTCCGAATTCATACCGTCCCCCGATTTCTACTCATCCTCACATGTGAGGTGAGGAAAGGATAAAAAGAAGAGAAAAAAAAAAAAAAAAAAAAAGGGAGAAAAAGAAAAGTATCAACTTTTATGTGGCCGTTGTATCCGTCGACTCCATACAAATGCGTTTTTTGCCTCGAAGGCGAGAAAAGTAGAAAAGAAAAATTCGACAGAGGAAAAAGAAAAAGAGTGATAAGAACAAAAGAAAAGGAAAAAACTGGCCGTAAAGACTAAAGACGTGGTCGTAACTTCAATGTTGTTGTGTATATCCATCCCATGCAGGCATGCCGAAAAAATAAAATGCTCCAACCCCCCAAATACCGATTTGAACCCTACTTTTCTTTTCTTCTTGTTTCCGTTATTGTTTCCTCCGAAGTGAGGGAAACTTCCCCCGGGATGTGCTCCTGTCTTCTCTCCTAGACTTTAAAACGGAGTGTCAAAATCAGTCCTCCGCCTCCGCCTTCCAAAAATCCCCCTCCTGCGGTCTTCACCATCAGCTGCTGCGCCTCCAGCAGTAACGCCACCATCGGAAGCCGCCCTCTCCATCATCGCAACCCTCCTCTTCTCCTTCTCGTCCCGCTCACGCATCTCCCTCCGTTCCGTATCGACCGTATTCTGACTAACGTGCCCGAACCCATTTCTCCGCTTAAAGCACGTTCCCATGAGCTCGTTTGCGTCGAGCATGCGCCTCGGCATCGCCTGCACGACAGAAAACATCTCCATGGGGTCCTCGACGGCCTTGATCTCGTCCTCGCCGACTTTGAGGATGGCCAACGCGATGCGGAACATGGTCTTCGACCCTTCGTAGAAGAATACGTCCCAGACCCGCAGCGTCGTCTCGATAGGTAGATTGCCGATGAAGCAGCTCATGAACCAAGGGGCCATGGTCACCGTGATGGGCGCGAGACGGTCCGAGTGCGCCACGACGTGCTGGCCGCGGCGGACCTTGGCGGGCTTCTTGGTCGACTTGGCCGTTCCGGGGCGGGAGGGGTTGCCGTGGGCGTCGCTGCCGTCGTCGCCGCCGGCGAGCTTGGACCAGAGGTCGGGCATGGCGTCGTGGAGGACCGTCATGAGGACGCCGAGGTCGACCTTGGAGCCGTGGAGGCTCATCTCGTGCGTGCCGGGGAGGAAGGTGCGGGTGATGACGTTGAGGAGCCAGAAGCACTGCTCTTCGGTCTGGACGAAGAGGAGCAGGAGCCCGGCGATGAAGTTGAGGCTCTGGCAGTATCCGATCTTGGGATTGTAAATCGAAAAGGCGTGCAGTACTCGGCGGAGAGATGAGATCATGGGCGGTTCCGAGTCATTCGGGTTGTTTGGATCGGGAGTCTTGCCGGTGACTGTCGACGTGCCCGGGGGCCTAAAGTGGATGTTGTCCGGGAACGTGCGGTGCAGGTCTCGCTCGATAATGTCGGCGTCCGAATCCTTGGCCTTTTGCCGCACTAATTGGTCGTAGAGGCCTGCATGCCTGCCGAGGATGGCTGGGCCTTTGGCATAATAGAACCACGCAGCGCCTCGCCACTCTGGAGGGATACCTTTGCGGATAAACCTCTTTGTCTTGACGCCCGCCATGGGGAATCTGATGGGATTATCCGTGCTGAGACCGCTGTCCTTCATGTATTGCATCCACTTCTTCCGCCGGCGGTCCAGGTACTGGGTATATCCCCCGTTCCACTCATCGTACTGTTCTCGGGTAATGTACTGATTAACCTTCTTGAAGCCGTATCGGTCCCGCGAGTCTGGGTCTTCTTGCTCAACAGGAAGTGCCGCAGGTACCGGGGCTGGCGGTTGGATCTGGGGCTGGGGCTCGATTTGGGTCTGGGGCGGCGACGGCTCGGGGACAGCCAGAATAGACTCCTTTAGCGGAGAGTCAGGTAAGGGGGCGTGCTCCTCACAATCGCCCATAGACTTGGCCGAGTCTCGGTTTTCGCTCGCCCGCCTGACGGTACGAGCCATCGGTATTTGTACATCATCAGGTATTATCGACGAAGCGGCCAATGGCCTCGCCTCAAAAATAGGAAGTGCATCGCCGTCGTCGGATTGAACGGTAGGAGGAGTAGGAGATGGAGAAGGAAGGGGCATCGGAGAAATCGGGGATTGCATTGGATTGGCTACGACGGGAGGTACAGCAGCTGCCCTTAAGCTGTATGTAGAAGTCCTCGTTTCGGGTCGGGACTTTGCGTCCCTAAAATCATCGTCGTCGCCATCGTCTTCATCGTCGGGTTCGGGTTCGGGCTCGGTGTCGTCGAAGCCGTTTTCGTACAAGACCATGACGTCCTCTACGCTGGGCTCATCGTCGAGACTCGCGTACATTGAGGTGATGGAACTCCCCTTGGTGATTAGGCTACTTCGTTCGGTGGTTGAGGCAGCATGCACGGTGGAAGAAGTCGCGTGCTGTGACCTGAAGCTCAATTCTGTCGGCTCGTCGTCTTTGAGCCAGGGGACGGGGTCTCGTGTGAAATTCGTTACCACGCTATTGTTGTTGCTGTCGAAAGTGCGACCGTAGGTGGGAGTCGGTCGGAAGATGGGAGTCGGGTTCGGGTTGACGCTGGATGTCGGCGTTACTGGCAAAGGTTTCTGTCTCGAGGCGTAAAAAACATCGTTGGCGGATAGGGGCGGAGGAGGAATTGTCGACGCAGCAGATGCAAAGGCAGCAGTGGAGGTAATAATATTATTATTAGTGGTCGTGAAGGAAGAAGACCAGGCCTCGGATACAGAGGCACCCCTGCCCCGGGCCGGTCTCGAGAAATTAAATGATCCTTCATCACTGAAGCGTTTTGTCGAGGACACGGGCAGGGGCCATGGGCCGGAATGCGACTCTGCGTTATTAGAATTAAAATTCGTCGGGTCCCTTTGGTCTTGAGGGTCTTTCTGGGCAACACTGGGTCTCCGCGGTCGTGAGAAATTACCCACGACGGGCGTCATGTTGTCGCCTCTTCCGGAGGGCCGGAGAGTGAGCAGATTCGGTGATTGCGGTCGGGAATAAGTCGATGATGTGGTGGTATTGGGAGTGGTGGTGGTGATGGTGGTTGGGGTCGATGATGTGGAAGGTGCTGTGGTGGTAGCAGTAGCAGTGGTGGTAGCGCTAGCGGGTAGTGGTGGGTTGTATTGCTTCTCATGTTCCGTCGGTCCAGCAGGGGTGGTGGGGGTAGAATTTTCGATCGCTTGTGGTTGTTGGATTGGAGGTCGAACCAGCGAAGCTGATGCTGATCGTGACTGGCATCGAGGACTGTTGTTCTTCTTGGGCGAGGAGTTGGGAGTAATGTTGATTGAGGTGGGCGTGGTCGGGATGGAGCTGATGGCGATACAGGTGGCCGTGCCTGTCGTGACTGGGAGGTTGGTGAGGATCGGGGAGAGTATTATGGGTCGGCGACCACCACTGCGGTTTTGGCTACGGCCTTGGCTTTGGATTTGGGCTTGGCTTTGGCTTCGGCTTCGGCTGCGAGAGCGACGGGAAGAAATCGACTTCGAACGAGGAGATGCCCCATGTGCTGCTTGTTTCGAATCGGGGGTGTCACAGATGGCGGCTGGATGAAATGCAGAATCGGAGCTGGGTTGGCTGCCTTGTTTCTGGTTGTCGTGCCTGGGTTGGTCTGATGTTTCTGCTGTTTCGGGTGGAGCGGGGACAAGAGCTTCCAGATCTTGATGAGAAAGCTCAGCATTAGCATCAGCTGGGGCACCCGCTGTATTGGTGCTATTAGCAGTGGAGGCAGTGCCAATTGCAGTGGCAGTGACAGCGACATTGGCAGTGCCAGGAACAGCCGCAGCGGCAGGGAGGGACAAGCCGGGGATCACAGGGGCGACAACAGGGGCGACAGGGGTATCAGGGGCAGCGGGAATCAGGGCGGATGCGCCATTAGCAGCGCTGTTATTACTTGTTGTGGTACTTGTGGTACTTTCGACACTGCTGCGACTCCCAGCAAACCACGAGGTACTGGTGGGGTCTGAAGTGCGTGGCGTTCCAGAAGGGTGATGAGCGGCTGTAGGAACGGTACTTGTACCTGTACCAGAGGAGAAACTGCATAATGGACCGGCGAATGACGGAGCTGCAGTCTCTTCCTCTGCATCACCTTCGCAGTTCCCGCTGCTCGTCGGCGTCGTTATTGTCGTCGTCTCGCCCGTTGTACCTGCAAAGGTATTGTTCTCCGTGCCGCCAATCGTAAAGCCGCCCCGAAGAACCCGCTCCGCCGCCAGACTGACCGCAAGATCCAAACTAGAGTGTTTGTTGTCGTTGAACCCGTCGTCAACATCAACGTTGAGGAGCGAAAAATTTGCCAGCGTCGTAAATTGAGCCCACCGAGGCGATGGTACAATGACCGGGGGCAGCTGGGGAGGCTCGTCCGGTGTGCTGGGTCCAACCAGGCCAGGATTGCATGCGGGATTATTGCTGCGAGGGGGATGAGACGACTCCAGCAAGTCGACGCCAAGGTCAATAGCGCCAGGCTCCACTTGATCGTCGCCTATTGTAATTCTGGGG